GCCAGAGGATGGCACTCCCCTGTCCTCATCAGCATAACCTTGTTTTCATATTGAACGTGTGGGCTTGTTGGAAAACCCATGTTATGCTGTATCCATTTATGCTATTGTTTTCACTCTATGGATTATGTTATGCTGGCTAGCTGCATCTTTATAATTTTGAATATGGCTTAACTTGGAAACTCGGAGAGTTGGCAGAACTGCTAATTATCTCCTGTCACTGTGTTGTAGGGCCAGGATAACTGACACTCACAGTAGCAGAAATGAGAGGTCACTGGTGGGATAAGCACCCCAGGGCATTGCCCGCTTGTGTTGGGGCAATCAACCCTGCAAAGGCATCTGGGAGAAATGGCCCATCAAGTCAGCAGGACTGCAGGTACTCTTAAGAACACCAGAACTTCCTAGAGAAATCTGGTGACTCATGAACATTAGAATAATGCTAATTGTGGGGCTGGCATGAAGGCTTTTTAGAGCCCAGCTAGACTAGAATATTGGAATTTAAACCTCACGGGCTTCAATGGCCTTGGTTACCAGGACTAGCAAAGTTGGCAGGAAGGCTGATCTCTAGAAGTCAGGCAAGACTCTCATGGGAAGCTGGGGATAGCTAGATGAGAGGTGAGAATCTGTATTTGTTTTATGTTCTGTCTCCAAACCTATGGTTTATTGTATTTGCATAATTCTTTCATCCTATGTAATAAATCCTTTTCCTGTTTATCTCTTACTGATTTCATAGATTCCTAATTTCTGGGTGAGTGATTTTTTTTCCAAGCTATCCTTTCCATGGCAAGGGAGATCTATAAATGTCTTTGGTACCCTAAAGTGGGGGCCACTCAGGGTGGGCAGAGATCTCTCACTGCAGCTGCAGAGTCCTGGCATGAGGGCAGAGGATCTGGGGTATTGGGATAGGGAGCTATCTTGGGGCAACTTCAGTCTGTTCCTTGGGGAGAGTGGCAACACAGTGAGGAAAAGCTTGAGGCTCTGGGGGATCCCCCATGGAGGGTTTTTTTTTTGACACTTTAAGAAATCTGGCCCTTAGCACTGAGCATAGCATTTACTTGCTTGAGTAGTACCTCTAAAAAACAGTGAGATTACTCAAGCAAGCATTCTGTATGCCTGGCAGGTTTTGCAGGAATTAATTGTATGCATTCTTCTGCATACAGGCCCATGTCTTGCAATGAGCTTAGCATAGACACAAGGTGTTGCATGCACAAAGGTTTTTGTGGGATCAGTCACAGTTTGCAAAGCATTTGGAACTCCTTGAGAATTAACGACAGTATAATTTGCTGTAAAAACCTGTACGCTGTGCATGTACCATTTTTTAGGTTGTTCAACTGGTCCCAGTTTCTTGTAAATGATAAAAAGGACTTCTGCTTTTTACTTTTAATTACACAATAGCTGACCTGGATGCACATATTCATTGGCCTCATGTATTTATGCATTGGTTTGAGTGGAGTAGAATCAAAGTAGTGCATTATCAAGAAACATCTGGTTTAAATACAACTGCTCTTGTGCAATATTCTTATTATATCTGCCTTTAAAATTCTTGTGTGGGTAGGGGTGGAGGGATGAGAGATACGTTGGTAGTGAGCTCAGCATTTAGACTGGTTCAGGGAAACAATACAGGGCTTAATTTGCAAATGCGCAAATGCCCATAGCTCCAATTGAAATCAATAGAAGCTGCGTGTAATCGGTATTTCTAAATGGAGGTGGGGTTGGAGGGAAAGTCAACTCTTTGGCAACTCTGAAGACAGGTGAGGCCCATGAATGCCACCTATTATTTTTAAACCTCCTCAGAGAGTCAGTGGAATGATTTCTCTGTGACCAGGGATCAGTGCCAGGAGAAGCAGGCCTGCTGGAGCTTTTGCTGTGCAGTGTTAATCATTCCACGGGTGCATTTTGATTTTTCTCTCATGAAAAAGTGTTTCTTGAATGATAATTTACAGAAAAGTATTTACTAAATTAAAAATGTATTGACATGTGATACCTGGTTTGAACAAATGACCTCTGGGAGGTAACAGATGGCAAAGTAGAGAACACGAAGAAATCCTCTAGGAAGCATAAACACAGAATTAATCTCTATTGGTGTAATTCCATCTTCTGTCTCACACATGCAAAATGTGTGAGTTCTCCCATTATTAAACCTCTCTTGCAATTACAAATACTTTATAAGGAAGATAAAAGTTTAAGGTGGATACTGGCAAGTTTTTTTTTTGTTGTTGTTAATAATTTAAAATTTTAAGGATTTAAACTTTTTGGAAAGGAGTAGAAAACTTTCACACTTTTTATTATTATTTTGTTTGTGAGTTTTGGAAGCATCTAAGTAGTGTGGTGAGATTTCCCATATAACTGCCATTCTTTTAACAGGGAAGAATGAGGAGGCTGCTCAGTTTCTGGGGCTTTCAGTTATTAGGGAAGGAGAAAATTGCAGAGCTAAAGTACTCTCTTGCTCCTAGCTGAAGAAAGATGGCCTTTTAACTAAAGGAATGGACTAGTACTTAGGGGGTCCTCAATTCAAATCCTGACTCAAACCTACTTTTCTGTTACAGTCTCAAAAAGGAAGTTCCTTGTGTACTGTTGGCCAAATAGAAATCAATGGGACTTTAACCAGTGATTGCACTATGGGATAAATTCTGGCCCATTTTACAGATAGGGATTATTTTACCTTTTTATAGGTGTATTATGAGATTAAATATATAAATAAATACGAGTGTGCAGGTATTATCACACTGGGGAACAACCTTTTTGGCCAACATGCTACATATGAACCCCAGATCGTCCTTCAGTGCCACATGATCCCCTTTCCCATGATCTTATGCTCTGTTTTCTGCTCCCTACCCAATCTGCTGCTTTGCTTTCTTTCCTATCTGCTGCTGCACTGCTTGACCTACCCTGGATCAGCAGTGTGCCAGAGGATGCCAGTTCTATGTGTGGCACACGTGCCACAGGTTGACCACCCCTGTATTACTGAGGTTGTAACCTCAGTTCTGTATAACAACTGAAATGGGTTATATCTGGCTGGAAGTGAAATTCTTTTTTTCCCCTTTTTATCAGTAACCTAGAATCACATAAAAAATGAGACTGACTAGACTTCATTTCTGTCTCTGAAAAAGATCCTCGTTGTTCTTATAAAAATTTAAAGGTTTGGTTTAGTCAGATAATGCATTTACTGCAGACTTTCAAATGTGAAATAACAGTTCACAACACTACAAAACACAAACCGCCATAAATTTCCTTTATTTTTGTTTATTGTAAATATTTTGCTGAACAAGTTTTTTGGAAGACATGCAGAGGTGCTTAGAAACACCAAGAGACACGCAAAGATTAGAAGCTGATAGTGCAACGCTACATTTTGAATGAATAAAAACAAATATTCACACTGAAATCTGGATTCTTCAATATTTAATTAATCACATCAGAAAACAGGAACATACTCTTCTGTTACCTAATTGTACAATCAATGGCTGAGTACCCAAGCTTCAATCTGGCAGTTTGAAATAAACTGCTAAGGAAAAAAAGGCTATAGTCCAAGAAATTACTTCTGAACAATTTTTATGTTTCTAGCTCAGTTATGTTCTATTTCCTTGGTTTTCTTTAATGTAACTAGGGCTAGCATTGTAAATTTCTGAATTTACTATTCTTTTATTGGCAGACAAAGTTCTTTGGTTAGATGTGATATCTTTTATTAGACCAGCTGAGTAGTTGGAAAAAAAAGTTCTTTGCAAGCTTTTGGGTGCAGTCACCCTTCATCAGGCATAGGGAGTCTCTTTTATTGGCTTTTTTTCCTATTCAGTTAAGTGAATAAAGAATTTCCTTTCTCACATCTGATTGTCTCTTTTATAACCATAAAAGAGAAAAAGGACAGAGAAACAATGATAGAGTCTATTAGAAAGTATAATACTTGCCTGACCTAATGTAAACTGTGGTGCACTCCCACAACAGGCTTTGGGCTGGATCCTACAAGGACGTACTAAACAGCCAGTTTCTACTGAAGTAAAGAGAGCTAAGAGCACTCAGCCCTTTGTGGGATGACTGTGTCATTGCAGATGCTGTTTAAAAGATAGAACAAAAGCAGTGTGTGCAGTTTATGGCAAAAAAAAGGCTGAACATCTGACAGATTTTCTTGAGCTCAGTGTAGGATGCCGTAAGTGATACACTAACTCTGTATTAATTAACTTGGTCTCTGAACTCAGTGCCTGTTGCTATGGGTTCCTCTATCGGTGAAAATGATAAATGTTGTATTCTCCAGTGGAATAAGTATTTAGCTCTAAACACTTAAAGTTTGACGAAACAGCAAAAGTTTTAACTCAGAAGGTCTGAGAGAATCAGTCTTCAAGACCATTTAAAACTTGTATGTAACTTGGACGTATTAGTTTTTGGGCTGTTAGTTATAACCAGTACTCAGAATTCAGACAACAACCACAAAACCCCCGGTAATTTTCATAATCTTTCTTTGTCTTAAAAACAATCTCTGGCCCTCAAGTGGACAGCTTTGTAATGTCCTTTAAAAATGAAAAATGCATTTGAAATAGAGGAAGGATTGTATATAAAGCTTGATCAAGTAAGTGTGGAACATTAGACTCAGTGCCTATAATCCTAGTTTTGAGTTTGGGCTAAAAATTATAATTAGCTTTTTAGTTATTCAATTTCTTGGATATAAAGACTTTATGAGCTTGCATTTGTTTAAGATTTGAGTAAGTTGCCAATATTAATAACCTCCCCTGTTTAAAAAGCCATTTTTCCTTATTGTGGATATACATTGCAAAAAGATTTTTGCCTCTGGGTTTAAAGATAGTTTTTTTATAGACGCAATGAGAACTGAAGCTGCTTAAAGAGGGATGCTTTGTTGAGAAATGTCTTTTAAGAGCCCATTATATGATAGCAAGATGGTTTACTTATTTTTTTATCTGTGGAAAAGTAACGTGCTGTGTTCTTATTTAATAGTGCACAGCTGTACTTCTTGGAAACATGCATCATATTAATTGCCTCTCTCTATTTTTCTGTAGGAAAGGAGCTGTTGATCCTATAACATGGAGGATTGCCTTCATACTTCTTCTGAAAATCTTTCCAAACTGGTCAGCTGGGCTCATAGCCATGGGACCATATGCAGCCTCATTCCAAATCTAAAGCACTTGCTTTCAGAAGGTTCCCATGGGAACCTCACAGCTATGTGGGGCTGTAGTGCAGGCCATGCTTACCACTGGCCACTGACTGCAACCTGCCGGGCTGGGTCGCAGGAAAGAGGGTGCTTTCAAGACAACAGGAGCTTTAACTCAGACAGTCCCAGCATTATTGGTGTGCCATCAGAGACACAGCCCAGCCCTGTAGAGCGATACCCTGGAAGACCAGTGAAAGCAAAGTTGGACTGTAACAGAACCAGAGACTCCTGTGACTTCTCTTACTGCAGTGAGCCCTCTGAGCTGGGTGAAGCTGTGGAAGAATACGAAGATGAAGCTACTCTCTTTGACATGGTTTGCGAGTCCTCAGTGACAGATGAAGATAGTGACTTTGAACCTCATCCCCAAAGAGCGCAAAACGTTTCCCGGAAAAGGTCTGCAGTGGGACCGTCATCAACAACCCTTTCAGGCTCCCAACCTCAGGTCATTGATGAAAGCACCAATGATGTGATAGTTAAAAAAATCAAGCAAGAAATCCCGGAAGACTATTACATTGTGGCCAATGCAGAACTTACTGGTGGTGTCGATGGACCTGCACTCTCATTGACACAGATGTCCAAGCCCAAGTCTCAGACTCATGCTGGGCCTTCCTATGTTGGTCCACCTAAGCCCAGCCCCCACACAATGCCTTCTCTCAGTGCTGATCTAGACTTGCAAAACTTGTCTGTATCTCCACCCATTTTATCGAGGCCTGCTGTTCAGAAGCCTGCTAGGGTAACTCTGGCTTCACCAGCCAGAGGACCAGCTAGTACCCCTACAGCCAACCAGCAGGTTGCCCTTCAGATGCCAGTCAGTAGTTCCAATACCAGCAAACAAATTAGTATTCCTTTGTCAGCCCTGCAGCTCCCAGGACAAGAAGAGCAAGCAAGCTCAGAAGAGCTGCTCCAGCCTGTGCCAAATCAGGTTCCAACCTGTGAAGTAGCATCATCTCCTTCTGTTAGCGCAGAGCCAGAAGTCAGCTCTAGTCAACAGCAGTCCAGCACTGCCCCTACCATCACCACTGAGGCCACAGCCCAATCAGTACCAGGTATGAAAACTTTTGAACACCCTCACTGTCACGCAGGGAATTCAGTGTCATTCTGATAGATGCATTTCTGAGCCAGCACCCGCAGGTAGTAAATTGCAGTTGCAAGAGTAATATCGATCATAGTTGCCATGGGTTACAGGAAACTATTACTACATATATCAGTAGATAACCACTATACTTTGAAAGGGGATTTGGAGAGCCTTCATTTAATAGAGCCCAGAAGCACTGGATGTAGGATAGTGTTAATCCAGCCATCCTTCATAATGGAACCCAGAGAGTTGTTTCTTTAAAGCAGATGAATATCAAAGCAAGTCAGGTTTGACAGTCCTATAATTCTGTAGTGCAACACTGATGTGGGACAGGGTGAAACCCCCTTGCTTTCCTTATATATAAGATGAATGTTAATTGGGTAAATCAGAACAATTAAATCTTAGCAA